GCTCGTGTGTGCCGGCACCTGTCGTCCGAAAGGCTTGAATCAAGCTTAAGCTCATGAGCGCCAGCACCTGTCGTCCGGAAATTGGTGGCTTGAATCAAGCTTAAGCGCAAATCTCAAAATGAGATAGAAAAGGCTTGAATCAAGCTTAACCTCGTGTGCGCCGGCACCTGTCGTCCAGAAATTGGTGCAGATCAAATCTCAAAATGAGATAGAAAAGGATTGAATCAAGCTTAAGCTCGTGTGCGCCGGCACCTGTCGTCCGGAAATTGGCTGACCTTACTCTTTTCTTAGCCAAATTGTGTTCAAACCTTGCTCTAGTATCCTGAGAAACCTAAGCTACAACGCTCAAATTATGTTCAAACCTTGCTCTAGTATCCTGGGAAATCTAAGCTACAACGCTCCTAGCATTCGTGGGAGCTAGCAAATAAGGTTTTAAGGAAAGAGTGATCTTTCGACTCGAGATAAAAATCTACACCAAACTCGAGCCTATATCTTCATCCTTTCCTTCTCTTTTCTACATAAAATAATAATCCTTATTTTGTAGGATTATTTTTCGATTTTACCAACGGTTACCCAATATATATATATATATATATATATATATATATATATATAATTATTTATTTATTTATTTATGTCATTGTTAAGGTGAGTCCACACCCCTTTTCATGAGTTCGTGTTGTCAGATTTGGAGCATTGAATGCTTGAGATTAATGACTTAGATTTCACTAATTGTGTAACTGTGCACTTCACTTACACAGTTTGCGATGCACAATTAGAGAAATCTAACCCATATATCTCAAGCGTTCAATAGCTCAGATTTGTCCACACGAACTTATGGGATAGGGGGGACTCATTTGATCATGAGTATATATATATATATATAAGTTAGAGATCAAATGCGAATGATGTGCCCAGGTGAAACATACGGACGATGAGACTCATTGATCTTGTCAAAATCAACGTCCATGATTAACAAGGATTTAAAAAAAAAAATGTGGTGGCAATTTGGTCATTTTCCGTATTGGTCAAACTTAAGGTGCGTAGTTTTTGTACTTAAGGTGTGTCATGTTTCTTCTTAGAGTGTGTGGTTTTTGTGCTTAAGGTGCGTCAGTTATTCAGTGAGAACTTAAGGTGTGTCATTCTAAACCTTTAGGTGCGTCTTTCCATAGCTTAAGGTGTGTTATTTTAACATTTAAGGTACGTCAGTTATAAACTTAAGGTGCACCATTTTTATACTTAAGTGCATGATTTTATTAGTTAAGGTGCGCCATTTTAACATTTAAGGTGCATTGTTCTTACAATTAAGGTCTGTCTTTGTAGCACTTAAGACCTACCCACACTCACTACCCACTCTCACCCGAAAAATCTAACCTATGTGAAGTGTACTCGGGTAAATATTTGCGGAGGGGGTCGACATTGCTATACCTAGGAGTTATCGATTTGCTGCGCCTATTTGACGTAAAACATATTAGCAATTATACCATGAGCTCGGGTCCACCTACAAGGTAGATCCGGGTTCAAAATACAATGTTCACAATTTACATGTTGAATGGTCATAATTTAAATTGTGAACATTTAATTTGTAAATTGTGAATATTCCATATATAAATTGTGTATTTTTAAACTTGGATCTACATTACAAGTTTTTGTAGTTTTTGTAGTACTCCGTATTATATTTAAATTTTTTACTAATATCATAATAAAGTCAAATGGGTTCAGTACTTCATTAGCTATCTACGTGCCATAAACTGTTTTTTGTATTTTTTTCAAATTTTTTTTCAGAAGCAAGAAACTAGTACCAAGGTGACAAGGTCGAAGAAAATCTGTTTGGGTATATTTCAGACAGGACTCAAATTTGACATTTTGTAGACTGAAGAAGACTCCAGATAGTGGATGTAGTGGTTGTAATGGCGTCGCTACTTGCTATAATGTCGGAGGAGACGCTCTTCATTTTTCACTGAATTCCTGCGTGGTGGCGTAGTGGCGGCGTAGTGGCCTCGGGTGTCGAGCCGGAATGTTCTAGGGTTCTAATCCCTTTCTTCTTCTTCTTCTTCAAAGTAGTTTTATGCACGCAGCCGCTGCTCTTCTTCTTCCCCTACTTTAAGTAAGTATTCTTGTGTTTAAACAGTTCTGTGCTTGAATTGTTGTATATTGATTGAATTTTCACATGATTTCTGTGATTTTATTGTTTGAAATAATGATTACTTTATTATATCAACGTTTATATTTTATGTTTTGGACTGTATATATGATTCTGGAATATAATGTAGATACATATTGCATACACTAAAGTCGAGTTTCAGAACGATGAGAAGTCCAGTGTCAAAGAAACCCTGGAAGAGAAGCTATGATCGTGTTGACGACGATGATAACCGCCGCCGTCCGAAATTTCAGCCCTCTTTCAAGCGGCGGCGGAGTGTTGAAAGATTCGAAAAGTTTCGTGACCGTCATGCATCTAATTCTGGAATCCGTGAGAGGAGTTCCGGTGGGCGTTTTACTGATAATGCAAGGACTTACAAGCGAGTTTCACCCTTGAAGCATTTGAATTATGGGTCCAGGAGGAGAGAGTTTAGTGATGGTGATGGGAGATTGGATTCCAAGGAGAAACCTAATGATGCTGATTTGGGTGAATTGAAAACCTCATCTCCCAGCATTCCCCGGGAAATGTCTCAGTCGTATTCGTGGGAAAGGCGACCTTCAGATGGCCGGGGAAAGGATTCCTTTTCCCGGGATCATTCTTTCGAAAATGAAGAACAGATTAAGAGGGAGAATGTTCTCAGAAGTCCTGCAAATCATAAGGGTGATTGGAGATTGGGTGTCAAGGCTAAATCAAATGATGGTGCTGTTTCTGGTATATTGAAAAGTTCGTCTCAGCTGTCTGTGTTGCCTTCACGGGAAAGGCGACCTTCAAAAGGCGGGAAGAAGGTTTCCTTTCACCAGGAAACTTCTTTGCAGGATGTGGTCAGTCAGAAGGTGCTGAAGAACACATCAGAGGAGAATTCTTCCAAATGTCAGAGAGAAAATGGTGATCTCAGAAGACACCAAGATGATGAGAAAATGGTAAGGAGTTTTGAAGAAAACCGAAAATGTAAGATTGCTGAGCAGCTAAGCACACAAGTCAAAGATTGTGAAGCAATTCCAGGAAACTGTGGGCACCAAGAACAAGTGGCATTTCAACATTTGTTCAATGAAAAAATCATAGTAGTGAATACACAAGCAGCCGAGGCCAGGGCAGAACAGCCTTATAACAACGATGAGCAACGTTGCTTCTATTATGTTGCTGATGATGATCGTATTCAGAAATTGAAACAATTGAAGAATGATTGCATAGTTCTTGTTTCTGATAGATACCATGTACATGATTCTCGGAGAAGAGTAATGCGGGCTCTAGATCTCTTCAAAGATGTCTACGCAGTACGTTTCAAAGCATATAAAGCAGAGCAAAACCATGGAAGTGCTAAACAAAAGATTGATGTGAGGACAGCAATGGCTCTCAAGCGTGAGGGAAAATGGGCAAATTATGGAAGGGACATTGTTGGGAATGTTCCTGGAGTTTATATCGGTGACCAGTTTCGGTTTAGAGCTGAACTTCCCATTGTTGGCCTTCATGGCACATTTTATTCTGGCATACATTATGTGAAAATTCAAGGAAAGAACTATGCAACCAGCATTGTGAATTCTGGTCGTTACAAAAACCAAAGTATATCTCCCGAGAATTTCATATATGTTGGTCATGGTGGAAACCCGCGCGTTGATGGCAAGGAACCAGTGGATCAAGAGCTCAAATGTGGTAATCTTGCCTTGAAAAACAGCAGAGATAAAGGAGTACCCGTAAGGGTTATTCGTGCATGTTGCGTGCAGGATGAAAACTCCAATACCAATAATAAGCGATACATTTTCGAGGGGCTGTTTGAAGTGACAAATTATTGGCAAGAGAGAGCGCAACATGGTAAAATGGTATTCAAATTTGAACTGCATAGAATGTCGAACCAACCAAGCTGTACTCCCCAAATGTCCGTCAGGCCAAGAAGGGTAGGAACATGGTTTCATCGTCAAACATTAAAAGAGGGGAGGAGACCATTTGGCATAGGGAGACCCTTTTTGAATGGCAAACGAACTCGTGGAGTTTTTAAGAGATTACTGCGCTGCCGGGCTGTAGATCATGTTGTGGTTGATGATGTGTCTCGGGGAAAGGAAACCGTACCCATTCGTGTTGTGAGTGATATATATGCTGAGAGACCCCTGCCATTCTCTTACATTGCAAACATGATATATCCACGTTGGTATCATCCTTGGGAGCCCCTCGGCTGTCACTGCACTAATGGATGCACTGATTCCCGGGATTGCTTTTGTGCATTCAAGAATGGCGGTGAGATCCCATATAACACTCAACGAGCTATCATTAAGCCAAAGCCTGTTATCCATGAGTGTGGTCCAGCCTGCAAATGCCCCCCTTCTTGCAGAAACCGAGTCAGCCAGCAAGGTATTCAACACCACTTGGAAATCTTCAGGAAGAAACCGAGCGGGTGGGGTGTTAGGTCTCGGGATTACATCTCATCTGGGAGCTTCATCTGTGAGTTTGTTGGAGAGTTGATCGACAAGAAACAAGCTAAGCAAAGAATTGATCACCTTCAATATTTCTGTCCTATTGCCAACTCAGAGAACCCTGCATTCAAAGGGGACTCAAGCTCTGGATATATGTATGGTGATGGTTACATACTTGATGCAGCATGCTCGGGGAACGTGGCGAGATTCATCAACCGCAGCAGCTCCTCACCCAACCTGTATGTACAAAATGTGTTGTATGAGGATGATTATGAGTGTGTGCCTCATATCATGTTGTTTGCTTGTAAGAATATACCCCCCATGCAAGAGTTCACATATGACTACAACTGCAGTAATCAATCAAAGTGATGCAAGTAGCATTTGGGGTAGATCCTTAGTTTCTTGCTAATACACATACAGAATGGGCCCCAGGAAAGACCTGCAGAATGTTGTCTACATATAGAGTAGACATTCTTGTTTGTGTTCTTTTGTATATTAATTTGGATTGTATGTATTCTTGATTAGCAGTGTGAAGTTTGGTTTCCAAACATTCACAATTAGGCTAAGGCTAATTCATGCCAGGTTCTGTTTTGCCTGCATACATATCACCTTACAGAGTTACAGATTTACTGTGGTGTTTTTGCCTTCCTGGGGCCCTCTTCATTTCAATATCTTTTATTTCTTTTTCTATCTATTAGTTTTTTTTTTTTTTTTTTTTTTTTGTTTTTTTTTTTTTTTAGAAAATAATAAGTGGTAATTTCATTAGAAATAAGCCGCAATAATATCAGGAGGGATTAGATCCCAATACATAGCAGTAGGATGCTGGAAAGCTGTAGATGCTAAAGTATGTGCTAAATAATTGTTTGATCTAGGAATAAAATTAAACGAACAAAAATCAAACGAAGATGTAGTTGCTCTGCAACTATCAATAGCATAGCTGATGTACGAACGAACCGTAGATGGTGGTGAAGTAAGATAACGCTGGAGTGACAGGCAATCCGTATATAGCTCTATAGACCGCTCGCCCAGATCCTTTAATCATGACAAGACCTCTTTGCATGCAAATGCCTCGACCATAAGTGGTGAAAAACAGTTCGGGAGAGGTGTACTGAACGCTGCCACATATCCCCCATTCATATTGAGAAGGACTGTTCCTGGCGTTGCCTTGCCCGTCTCGTGGAGGAACCCGGCGTCGACGTGGCAGATCCTCGGTGGTGGCACAACATCCAAAGCAGCTGGGGCAGCCGACAGGGTGGTGGCACAACGTCCAAAGCAGCTGGGGCAGCTGACTAGCCGTGAGGCAGTGACGGTGTATCGGTAACGCCAGGCTGCTTGGGTGGTGTTTGTGCGTTGGGTACGAGTCGGGTTTGACACCATGCTTGCATGGTTGCGGTGGCTATCGCAATTAATCTCCTCGGTCGCGGAAGAAAAGCGTCCCAAACCACTCCATTTCGTACTCTCCAAATATGATATAGAATTGTTGCTGCATATATTATCTCATTAGAGTCTAGAACATTTAGAAGTTCACCAAACCAAATATGAAAAATATTTGTCACAATATTGGGGATTGGAAGGTGGAATTGTTCCCATATGGCTTTTGCAAAATCACACAACACTAAAGCATGCAGTCTCCTCTTGAGATATTCTACACATGGCACAATTTAGATCCACATCATCCCACTTTCTATTAGCTTTATTTAAATTTAAAACTTTTTAAAAAGAATTTCATCTACAATTTTTAGTATGTTACCATATGCAGTCGTTATATCGTGGACCGCGGTGCATAATTGATTATGCACCGCGCATCAAAACGACGCGCTGTTAGTGTTAACAGAGTGACACTACAGTGTATCTAAACCGACAATGCCTCACGTATTATTTTTATATTATCGAATGAAACTGCAATATATATATATATATATATATATATATATATATATATATATATATATAATGAAACTGAATAACATTTCACATATTTGAGTGTATATTGTACAATGAAGCTGTAATTATATCGAAATGATCATGTAGTTGTGTTTTAATGAAACTATAGTGTATATAAAATAAAATTAAATAACATTTTCACATATTTGAGTGTATAAATATTGAATGAAACTGTAGTTGTGTTGAACTGAAACTGTAGTTGTGTTGAACTGAAACTGCAGTGTATACAAAATGAAACTGAAGAACATAGTTATTATTTGCGGAACAGTGCAAAACGAATTCCGTTTCTTTTCATTAAATAAAATGACGTCGTTTTGATGCGTGGTGCATAATCGATTATGCACCACGGTACACAATATAATTTGCCTATCATATGCAATTTGACTTGAGATTCGGACAAGTTTATTGATTTATGCTAATTCAGCTATTTTTTATCGGGCTAATAATTTTCCCCTAATCCCAAAATTTTGGGTCATGTTTTGGATTTAATTGAAAATTTTGACATTTTAAAATTAAATCTTAAACTTTCAATTTTAACAAATATGTACTTTGCAATAATAAAATATAAATGTCAATTTCAACTCAAAAATATAATATAATAGCTTACGTTTGTGTGATATATATGTAAATAATTTTTTAATATTAAAAAAATCAAGATTAAAGGGAAGTATGAAACAAAGACTATAAAGGGACTGATAGGGTTGTAGCCTTGTAGGGCAACTCACTTGCTCTACGGAGCTTAGTAGTGTATTTTTTGATCTCATTAGTGCACTTTTTGATCTTGGTAGTATATTTTTTGATCTCACTAGTATATTTTCCGAGCACACTAGTGTATTTTCAAACCCGAGTAGTGCATGTTTACTTATCGGTTTCATTATTAATACACCTCCCGGTCTCATTATCATTAGACCTCCCGGTCTCATTATTAGTAGGCCTCCCGGTCTCACTATCATTAGACCTCTTAGTCTCATTATTAGTAGACCTCCCGGTCTCCAAACATCCCTTCACGTGTCAAACCTCTAAGGGCACTTGGCAAAAATAGCTTCGGTACCCGGTGTCATTAGGACACGTGGAGGACATGCCGGACGCCTGACATGCGTTCCCTCTTCCTCTCTCTATATATAGGACATTTATTGCATTTCAAGGATACTTTTTTGGCTCCCAAGATACACCACTCCACTCGGAGCTTCCTTGTCTCACGTAATCGGACCTTAATTACCTTCCCGGTCGGTCACACCAATAACCTTTATTTATGTTCCCGACTTCATGTGATCGAACCTTTATATAACCTCATGACCACATCATTCCATATTCTAATTGATTTTCTAGTCACATTCACCCGACCTATAATAATATACTTTACCAGGGACATTTGAGCAACTCGGGTCATTTCATTAGTTTTGAGTTAAATTAATATCCCTACATTCATGTGTGGTTTTAATTGTAAAATTCTTAAAACGGGCATGGCTCTTTTAGCCTCTAGATATTGAGTTTGAGCTATGATTTTCTTCAAGTTTTTTTGTTTTGTTTTGTTTTGTTTTGTTTTGTTTTGTTTTTTTTTTTTTGTTTTTTGTTTTTTGTTTTTTGTTTTTTTATACATATTAATATGAAGTTACAACAATGCATAACAGTTTTAATTATAGAATGACGGTTGACGGACAAAATGTGTTTTTTTATCAGATTCTATTTTTTTGCCTAAAAAGCAGATCTTACTATATTTATTACAATTGCATGTAGGCAAAGCTAAGGCATTTGAAATGGTCAATATGATTGTGTTTGAAATCGGCATCTCTTTCTCTCAATCTTTCAATATTAATATACAATTCTTATCACCTGCCTAAGTACTGTAATCTCCATTGTTACTTAATCAGGAAAAGTAATAAGAAAGCTGAGTTTCGAAAGATGTATCGTTCAGGAAGCACTAACCGAGTATGGGATGATTACATGAAGTACAATTCTTCTTCTTCACCGACTCCAAAAGTTTCTTCGTCAATCAGAGCTTTATCGTTAGAAACCAACGAGTTTCCTTCCTACGAACCGCTCTCTGCAGATTTGAATAAGCGCGAAAAAGCTCGCACAAAGCTTGCAGAGAACGCCGTTCATCTCATACCTCTCGTCTTGTTCCTATGCGCATTCATCCTCTGGTTCTTATCCAATCCTGGTAATTTGCAATTCATTCTCAGTATACAAGCGGTTTGTGAGTGAGCACGAGGAATTCGATCAGTAATTGAGTTTCAGTAAGAATTTTACTCTTTTATGCAGACATTGATGTTCCGATGAGCGGCGACGCCATTGCTGCGAGAATCGAAGGATTGACGATCGATGGAGATGTGGATAGTGATGGTACTCAAACAGGGAATTTACCTCTGGAATTGGGCGATCTCGACTTGACCAGAAAAGATGATGCGTCAAAAACTACCAGAGTACTATAATACTAGATGGTGCTCAACGATTGCGTTGGATCTCCATTTTAGTTTCTTCCCCGTTTCGTAGTTGTAACAGATTGATCGAACCGTTTAAATAAATAAATAACATTCATTTTTCTTAAATATTTTTTAAATAATTATATGAATTATCTATTTATGTTTAATATAAAATTTTATAATGATATTAAAAAAAAAAAGAATCAAATAGGTTCTTTAACTTTATCCGATAGAGCAATTAGGTTCCGTTTTGAGGGAAATTTCAACAATGCTCTGGTTGTCGCCTATTTGGCCTTGGCTTTAGCTCCGAGTAAAATGGGACCTCTTGTAGGATCATTTCTTTGGTTGCATTCTTTCGAGAAGGCGACCAATTTTTTTGTTGCCTTCTTTCGAGAAAGCACCCATGGTCACCTTCTCAGAATAAGGCAATCGGTTCGGTTCGGTTCATCGATTATCAATTTTTTCATGCCAACAACGCCTTGAGGACGGTCGATAATACATTTTTACATGTAACTTGTTAGTTATCGATAAATTAGACTTATTTGATTAATTTTAATAAATTGTAAAATTTAATGAAACCTTTTAAAAGTTCATAAACCTAATTTTTCTATACTTTTATCATGTAAATTAAAATACAAGGGCCTATTTTATCATTTTCTCTTTTAAAAAAAAAGTATTGAATTGTAAACTTAACTAACTCTCACATTCTCCCGCCATCTTCACCCATTAAAATCAATATATCGTTCTGAAATCATCTTTCCTGTCTCCTTCTCTCTGTTTAAACTGATCAAATTTGGAATCCAGAAAATTGCAGGAAAAAATCTCCGACATTTCTTTGCTTCTTCTCGATCATCAACGCTACAGAATGGTGCTGCGAATCACCGTCTTCAAATCAACTCCTATTGTGAAAGCGATTCAGGCAGCCGCAGTGGTTGAATCTCCGACGGTGATATTCATTTGGAGACCTGAGGGACTTTGTGTGCAATCCATGCTTGCGGATAAGCTGGACCCTGGGGACAACCTCTCTACTCTTCTCAGGCTCGAGGCTCAGACATTCAGCTCCTATGAATCTACAGATCAATACTTCAGTGCAGTTGTTGAACGTGTCGACCTCGAAGCAGTCTTTCTCACTGCCAACGATTCCGAACGCATCGAGTTTTCCCAATCTGATGAAGACAATAAACTGAATGGCTTTGGTTACTTGCATGCCCGCTTCGACAGGCCTGTAGGTCAGTTTTTCCCCTGTTATATATGCGTTCTATGTGTTTGATATGATGCCAAGAATTACTGCAAATTGATCAGATTACCATAGATATATATTGTTGAATTAGGAAATATTAGAAAGAGGATAAAAGCTAGGGTTACGTTTCTGACAGAAGATCTGAATTGAAAGTTGCAAATTGCCAATTTCTGTTGCATTCCATTCTTGGAAATCCCAAGTAGCTAGAGTGAATTGAACCGTTTTTTGATTGTTCTTGCCAATTTCTTGCATTCAATTCCATTCTTGCTTCGATTATTACATGGGAATTGAATCAATTTACAGGAGCTTACAAGGAGAACTACATTTCCTTGAAAATATATGGTATCTTTTCTGAGAGCATGCTACGAAGTGCTGATGTATCAGCTGATCCATCTTTCCTTCCACTTCTCCCTCTGGCTGGAATTAGTGCACCCGCTTTTGCAGACGCTATAGCAGTTATGGAGAGCATGGCAGAGAAAGGTATATACCTTTAATCATTCAACACTATATAGGAAAACTTCATGAAACATCTTTTTTATTTTTGGGTGACGAGAGAAACCCACAATTACTATCCAAGATAGTGCACTGGCTAAACACCGAGTAGTTATGTTGTGCATCCGTATGCATGCAAAAACGACCTCGTTTTATTAAAAACGTGCGTCTCCCTTTAAAAAAAAATTCAGGTTCGATTCCCAGCAACAACATTATATTGTTCATTCATTCTGGAATTTTAATTCATAGATTATGGAATTTTAGTTCATTGATTCTGGAATTTTAGTTCATCCATTATGGAATTATAGTTCATCGATTCTGGAATTTTAGTTCATATGTTGTTGCTGGGAATCGAATTTGAATTTTTTTTTAAAGGGGAAACGCGCGTTTTTTAATAAAACGACGTCGTTTATGGTGCATACGGATGCACATCATAATTTGCCCTAAACACCTAAATCAGGTTACCTATAGCTGACGGGCTCAAATAAAAAAAGCCAAAAGGCTGATCTCGTTAAGAGTCGAATTTGTAACCTTTGTGGTTACCAAGTCAATAACCTTACCAACTTGGTTGGGGTTGTCTTTTATCTTATCTTGTACATCCTCTGATTATGCTGTTTAACAACGTTGCAGTTCTTATAATTGTTAAAGAGGGACTAGTATTTTTTGCTCCTGTTGATCAAGGGTTGATGCCACTGATGCTAGGGCCGAAGGTACAGTAATTTGCTAAAGAAATTAAATTAACTTAACTTAACGTACTCATCATATTAATGGGTTGATCCATATATCAAGCTCTCATTCTTTTGCAGAATGGGGTGATTTATACGATGAAGGATCTTCCTAATGAATCACTTGAGCTTGAGATCAAACTTCCATTCCTGAACATACATTCTGCTTCGGAACTCTCGTCTGTGGTTTTTCTATCTAAACGGGCAGAAAATGTGCTAGTAGTGTGGTTTAAGCTTGAAAAAACGCGATACCTTTTAAGTGGAGATATCATTTACTACTGGTATTGAAAGCGGCCGGGGAACTTTTGGTGGCGAATTGATCGATGAACAAAATGTAATGTTGTAGTATATACTTCTTTTGTAGTTATGCTGATGCATAAAATTTGTCTCATATACATTTTCTTTGCTGATGACATATATGGAACATATTTTGTTAATCAAAGAACGGCTTGATTTGCAATATGTGTGTTTTGTACAATAATCATATGTTGTGTTGTTGCACAGCTCGCATATTTTGCATATTCGGTGCTAAAATGATTACAAATGAGACTGATAGATTATATGTTAATAATAGTTTGTATAAATAATGTTTATATGTGACGATGAAAATGGTCATTTTCTTTGTTAAACTCAATTGGCAAGATGTGTTATTTTGAGTGTTTTTTTTTTTTTTTTTTTGTTTCTCTTTTCATTTTGATATAATAATGGTTACGGAATCACAATAAATGAATAAGAATGGTCCAACATGTTAGCTCATACTCAAATTATGCGCAAATTATATTGTGTAATCGTGTGCATGGTGCACACGGTTGCAAAAACGACGTTGTTTTGACGTCTGACTTAAAAAAAAAAAAATCAGTTTCGATTGTCGTTAACGGCGTTATGTTGTGCATAATTTGAACTATATATCCAGAATGAATGAACTATATAATTCAAATTATGCACAACATAACGCCGTTAACAGCAATATATAATTCAAATTATGCACAACATAACGCCGTTAACAGCAATCGAAACTGAATTTTTTTAAAGTCGGATGTCAAAATAGCGTCGTTTTTGTAACCGTGTGCACCATGTATGGTGCACACGATTGCACAGCATAACGCTCCCATATTATTAATCGAGCACCTTAACTTGTAGTACGTTGTAATAATAAATTACAAAAGAAAGTCTCACAACAAGACTTCTAAGATGACAACTCTTTTAGCTAAGTTGTTATTAGATTTTTGAAAATCCGCAACCACTACTACTCAATGGTGTGCATGTTTAATAATTTTCAAACTACACAAAGGGAAGTGAACTCCAATATGATCGAGAATCATGTGCTATAACTTCTATTCACTTGATTATCCTTTTAGATTGTTTAAGTGTATTATTGCTCACACAAACGAATGCACAATGTGCTTAATTTTAGCAATCCAAGTTCAAAAACGCCATCACATCTCGTTCATCACAATTCTTTTTATATGATAATGTTATAATATAAGAACCATTAATGATTGTGAAAATTTGGTACACTTGTAAAATGTATTTTCTCTTAGTTATATAATATATAAATTAATAATAAATATGTAAGTACACTTATAAAATTATAAATTTAAATTTGTAGTTAAGACGTAATACATTATAAATTTGTTACGTACTTTAATTCTAAATAGTGAAAATGACACTTTTTCCTCCTGTGTTATATGCTTATAGCACTTTTTCCCCCTGAGTTATTCATGCATTCATATTTGCCACCTCAATTATTATAGAAGTGGCGGTTTTTCCCCCTGATAATATTAAATGGACATTTCTACCCTTAAAACAAATATTTTATTTATTTCTCTTCTTCACCAAATTATTGCTTATACGTAGGGATGACCACGGTTCGGTTCGAACTGAACCAAACACTATAACAATCAAATTAAAAAATTTCGGTTATGATTCATAACATAACCCAATATTTGGGTTTCCGTTTATTAAAATCGTGAACTGAAAAAAAATGAATCCTGAACCGTGAACCGGAGGTTCAAATCGGAACAACTACTAGCAATAGCTTAAATTAGAATTATAATATTTGCAAATAGTGTATGTTTTTTTCTGCATTTATATTGAGTCTCACATATAAGTATATATAATCGCGATTTGAGTTTTATTTTGAACCGTCGATTCACGATTTTGGATCCAATTTGAACGGTTGGTTCAAACTTTCTTTTAAAATTTTATTTTTTATTTTTAAAATATTCTAAATTTAACACTTAATGTATTTTATTTTTTCAAATCGTGGTTATAATTTGTTGGAGAAGAAAAATAAATGAAATATTTATTTTAAGGGTAAATATGTCCATTTAATATATCAGGGGGAAAAACTGCCACTTAAATAATTTAGGGGGAAAAAGTGCTATAAGTATATAACAAAGGGGGAAAAAGTGCCATTTTCCCTTCTAAATAATATGTACTTCAATATTTTTTCAGGGCAATAATAAAGTTTTGGATAAGATAGTTATAAATGGAAGTGAAATTCTAATAATTTTAACTAATAAGGCAAAAATATTTAATCTTTATCATTGGAACATTATTTATTCTTCAAGAATCAATAATCTTATCATTATTACATTATTTAGTCTTTCAATAATTATAATAATAATCCACATTTAGGCGATTTGTGGAACCTCTACATACATAATCAACTCTTAAGTACAGTACATTTGAACAATTATCTAAAGCTTATTTTAAAGTTTATAACTTATTTTAACTACAAACAAACTAAATTACTTTATGAATCAATATATTAAAACATTCCATCTATAAATGTATTTCATTCATAACATATTTTAAAGTACACAAAAATTAAATACAAACATTGTTACTTTATTATGAAATACTAAATCATAAATGTGAAATATATATATTTAGACTTTAAAATTATAATATATAAATTTAAAAAATTATTCATTATTTATGTTTTTTACACTTAGCATCTTATTATTCAGTTCGACAAATAATTTTACCAAACAAGAAAATCTTAGAAAAAAAGATCCCACACAAATTTCTCAACTTCTTCTCAGCAATGGTGCTACGAATCACAGTCATCAATGCAGGTTTTCTGAGAGAAGCGGTTCAGGCAGTGCCGGTGGCCGGGTCAGGGATGGTGATAATCATTTGGAGCCCTGAGTATTTCGCCGTGCAATCCGTGTTTGCAGAGAAGATGCCCGAAGGAGAAAACCCCCTGACGCTTCTCAAGATCGTTCCCGAGGGTTTCAGCGCTTATGACTCCACGGATCGCTTCTTCAATGCGGCCATTGAAGCTACCGAGCTCGAAGCCGTCTTTCACACCGCCAAGGATTCCGACCCTATCGAGTTCTACCAATCCGTTGAAGACGACAATGGACTAAATGAGTTCGGTTACCTTCATGCGCGCTTCAACAGGCCTGTAGGTCAGTCCTTGCTTCTCAGATTTTACGGATTTTGGAATGCTCTTTTTATGCTCTCCACATGTTTGATAAGATGCCAGTAATTACTGCGAATTGATTACATACATTACCAAAGATATATATATATATCTATCTATCTTGTTGAATTAGGAAATTCATTCCATTCCATTCCATTTTTGAAACCCCGAATTAAATAGAACCAATTCAACAATCTGCAGCTGATTGGTTTATTTGATTGATTTCAATTCGTTTGAAAGATCTGGCGGCAGGGCTCGTCTCAGGAGCTTTTATGAATGATTACATCCCCATGAAAATCTATGGCATCTTTCCTGAACGAGTGCTTCAAGCTGCTGATGTATCGCACGATCCATCTCTCATTCAATATCCACCCGCGGCTGTATTTGTTTCAAGACATTTTGCGCACTACATAGCTACTTTGGAGACCTTCGGGATGACAGGTACCTACAAAACTATCATACAAATCTTGAATTAACTTCAGTTGACTTAATTGTAATCATAACGTTACAAGTTTAACTCCAAGCTAATTGGAGCAGCTTATAAACTTTTATTGGTTTGAGCCGATTAGTTATGAACAATCTAAACTGATTTACTCCTTGTGATTATTTGCTGGTTAGGGTTATACAGTTGACTTGGTAACCATAAAGTTATAAATTCGACTCTTTATGATCTTTTTTTGACTAGAGTTACAAGGCTATGTTGTTTATCTCCTTGTGGTCCTTTACTATTTAGGGGTCAACAATATTGAGTTTAGCTAGTAAGTCCAGTACACATCTTGAGTAGTGACTGCCAAAAATCGAAATTTAACAATATAATGTTGCTTGCAGCTACCATAACTGTTCTTGATAATGAAGTGTTTTTCACTACCGAAGCAAGACCTTTGGACCCGCTGATTATGCCCCAAAAGGTACGTTTACGTTCATTAATCTGGTAAACAAACTAAATAAAGTTGTGAGGTTTTGAAAAGTGGGTTGATAGATGAATATAATATATGTAGCTAGCTGGTTGTTGCGTGCAGGCTGGGCTGATTTCCACCAGGAAAGATTGTAGCGTTAAGCCGATTCGGTTTGATATTCATATGCAGAACCTGGACATTCAGCCTGGCGCCGCCGTGTCGGATGAAGTTTCATTGTACAAACGAACGGACACCGTGTTCTTGTTTTGGTTCCGACTTGCCACGCCCAAGACGTTTCTCAAAGGACACATTATCTACTACTTCTACTGAAACTGGTTTTGAACTCATATAGTCATATGACATTGATTGGTACATATATAGATTCATAGATACATGTCTGGTTTTTAGTACAGAAATGGAATTTGACTTAGCTAGCATTTAATTTACATTTTACACACAAGAGAATGATTCAATGTACTGAAAACAATCAAACCAGCCAAGCATGAGAGAGTTCCCAAAAAGCTCATCACAACCAAAATCTCTGAGCACCGCGAAACTGTTGTCTGAGAAATTGTATCGCAAAACTTTCCCAGGAACACTCAAGACCAGGAATGAATCCTCGTCCTCCTCGTCGTTTTCTTCGTATCGGACAATGCTGGCCGTCAGGAACTTGTAGTAAAACTTGTCGGAAATTTCCAGGTTCTTGCTTATAGATTCAGGGAAAGCGTTCATCACGTTCTCAATGTCGACCTGGTACTTCACGAACCACCCGGAATAGTCCCTCTCCATCTCGTAAACCTTAAACTGCGTGGTTTTTGGGCCGTGGATGTCGATAAGGTGGAGATGGCCGCAGGATTCCTGCATATACCTCACCCGTTTTTGGTCCGGCATGGGCGGCATCGCCATTGTCGCGAAGCTCTCTTTCTCCACGTTGAAATGAAGCCCGGTTTCGGCATTATTGTTGTTGCCGAACCAGTTAACGCTGCCGTTCCAATACACTCCCAGCTTATAGTTGAGATCGCGGAAGAGCGGCCTCTGCAGGCGCTTCCATTCACCGGTTTCCGACGAGTAGACCTCGAGCTGAAACGGCGCCGGCGACGCGTTATCGGAGGGGACGACAAGAACAACCTTGTAATAAGGTGATTTTTTCGGGTCAAACGCTAAGGTAACAGAATGAACTCTCCCGATTCCATGTTTTACCAAGAAGGAATCGTAAGGGGAATCCGGCAAAGCGGCGAAACTGTGAGTACTGGGATTGTAAACGTAGAAGCTCCGGCGGCCATTTTCAACCCGGAAGCTACTACAACACAGGAACAAGCCATTGCAGGAAGACTGGACAGCCATTCCATATTTCTCATCACCAAACTCCAGAGTTCTGAACGGGGCATCATCGCAGCCATCCAGCGATATAAAATCAAACTCCGGGATGGGCAGGGTGGAATTAGACTTCTTGAAGACAATGCCGGAGACGGGTTTTTTGAGGCGGGTGTGGAAGTAGGGGTGGGTGATGAGTGAAAGCCAGCGTTTGGAGACACATTTGAATCGGAGAAGGGATTTCACAGGCAAACGCAGGAAGATCTCCGTCAAGAGATCGTCGCTGGAAGCCACTATTCTGGCGGAGTTGCTGATGATCATTGGATGAATCTATGGAAACTGATCTGATCTGAGGATTCTGGAACAAGGATGTTAATTGGGAAGTGGGACGAAAATGGCGATAAATAGAGGTGGATTTGTGGGCAGGTACAGGTGGAGAAACTTAGAAGGGACATTTGGAGCTGTTGTTTCATGATGAGTATACGTTAAAGCCATAAAACGTGGAAGGGCCAGGGGGGTTAGACGGTTAGTCCAGCAGGAGACGTCTGTAGCCGTCATTCGTACTTTGGCAGTTAGCACCAAAATTAATTTAAACGCCAGGGTATTTTCGTAATTACGCCCTATATCTTATTCAAAAGTTTTTTTTTTTTTTTTTTTTTTTTTTTTTTAACACAATAAACTTCACTTCATTAATTAATTAGAAGATCAGAAATACAATCTGGTGGTATAATCGACCATGAGCCAGCCAAAGAACTAGTTGCCCGAGCTAGTATATGAGTCACATGATTCGCTGATCTCTTGACATGGTGAACGGTAACGTTCCTAATGTCCCTAGCAATTGATACACATTGCTTAACAACCCAATTAGCATAGGAAAAATCTAACGAACTAGAATTGAAAGCAGTATAGAACGTAAGACAATCAGTCTCTATAGCTATATTGTCACGCTCGAGGGACCTCAACCAGCGTAGTGCCTCAAGTACGGCACTAGCCTCTGCCATGAGAGGGTCCCTTTCGCAAACCATTCGTCCATACTTAGCAGCTACAAAACGACCATTGTAGTCTTGCACAACTGCACCGTAGCCTACGACTTCAGTATCGATCGCCGCATCCACGTTGCATTTGAGCCAGTTTCTCCCCGGAGGTTCCCACCTTATTCAAAAGCTTTAAATTAACATAATGTCCCTATCCTGTATTATACAATTTAATAGAGTTAATTCTTTTTTTGATCCTAAATTTATATGTGTTCACTTTAAGTCATTTTTTATTAAAATATTTACTTTTGAATTTAGTATCATTATGTCATGACTATTTTTTGTCCTTTATAACAAAACAATTTAAATATTGTTAAATACAAGAGCATTTAAATTTGGTCTTCAATTATGAATTTTGTCAAAAAAAATATACATAAAAAATATAATGTTTCAACCTACTTTATATATATATATATATATATATATATATATATATAAAAGATTAAAATGTATTTGTATTTAACGATATTTTTTCCAACAATTTTGTTGATAAATGACTAAAAATGATCATGCCACAATAATACTATGACCAAATGAGGTTGTTCTAATAAAAAAAAAATTAAAAAGAGATTGTCATTTATAAATCTAGGACAAAAAATGAATTAACTCAATTTAATATATCAAATGCAAAAGTATCATAAACATTATTCTTTGGGAAAATGGCACTTCTTCTCCCTAAGTTATATATTTATAGCATTTTTTTCCCCTCAATTATTTAAGTGGCTCTTTTTCCCCCCTGAAATGTTAAATGGACATATTTACCCTTAAAATAAATATTTCATTTATTTTTATTCTCCAACAAATTATTACTATAATTTGGTTCAAACCAAACAGATACTATAGCAACCAAACCAAACTATTCCAATTACAATTTATAATCAAAACGCGATATTTAGAGTTTATTAAAATCGCGAACCGGAATGACCGGTTCATATTTCGAATTGAAAAAATAAAATACATTTATTGTTGAATTTAGACTATTTTAAAATAAAAAATAAAATTTTAAAATAAAGACGGTTCAAAATCGCGACTGGATCTGGAACTGCCGGTTCACGGTTCATGATCCAGTTTTTTTTTTTTAAATTCTTAAATTTAATAAATTGAAATCAAAATATTGGGTTCTAGATCTGAATCATAACTGAAAATTTTTAATTCGATTGCTATAGTGTCTGGTTCAGTTCGAACCGAACCGTGGTAATCGCTACATATACGCAATAATTTGTTGGAGAAGTAAAATAAATAAAATGCTTACTTTAAGGGTAGAAATGTCAATTTAATATATTTGGAGAAAAAACCACCACTTTTAAAATAATTGAGGGGGCTAATGTGCTTACATAAATAATTGAGGGGGAAAAAGTGCTATAAGTATATAACTTAGGGGGAAAAAGTGTCATTTTCTCTTATTCTTTTCTCAAAATGTTGAATCCTCAATCTCAAGAGTCTCTAACATTTCAGAGCATTTAAGAGGATATAAATCACAATAACTCAATAACTCAATACACAAAATCAAATATCAATGTGCACAAATTAACTGTCACTTTATGGCGGTCACAAAATGCAGATGTGTTTTATTTTAGATTATTTATTTATTTTTTTGGATTGGGAAAATCTAGGCAGAAAGCAAAAGCCTCAACTATATTAAAGATAATTGACAAGAAAAGGAATTATCAATTCTCATTCAAAATAATCTTCTTGATGGAAAAAGTAGATCAAATCTCAACCAAACACATAGCCCTTGATTGGAGGGAGTAAAGCCTTTGCTAAAAAATAATTTGTAAAAGTTAACATGCATATCAATTATTGAATCCTTCATTGCCTCTTCAATTTACATTTACAAGTGATTTTCAAATATTAAGTTATATATAGTTTCTAAAATATATCATGAACGAATAATCATGTATAAGTCATTCTCAATCATTATTCATTAAAATTCTTTAACTCATGCAGTTACAATCTTTAGGATTTCATTAACTCTTGATTTTAACTGCACTGCACACTTTAATATTAGATTTTGTCTGAAGATAATTTTAGAATGTAAGGTAAAAAAAAAAAAAAAAATTAGCACGTTTAGTATGTATTTCTCTTTTATTTTTTTAATTTATTTATTTGACAACATGTGATTTTGTGAATTGGATTATACTTAGGAATCTATTGAATAGAAGTAAGCTTAGAATTGTGAAAACACATGGGAGAAAAAACTCAAAACAAAATTGACTTTATCATCATATTAGCATGCATACCCTCTAGATTTTGTTCAATAGGTTTAAATTATTAAAATGCCCCTTCCCTTTCTTTTTTTTTTTTTAAAAAAAAATAATAATAATTCACCAAATGCAAAAATAATGTACCTCTTAATGTTAGCAAAGTACCTGGCTAGCTTGTGTTTTGTACGTTCTCATAGCAACATCAAATTTCAAAGATTCTAATGCATAATCAGGGCTCCGTTATACAATGGATCAATCAAATGGACTACAATACAAACATCATATAGGCAAGTAGCAAAAGTCTTGATTGGCATTCAAAAGAACATGATTAAAGCAAGAATTTTTACTAATTCTATCATTTAAAGACATGTTCGAGATTGACAAAAAGAAAAAAAGAAAAAAGAAAATTCAATCAAACAAACACAAATGTACCCCTCGAATAGAGGAGTAAGGCCTTAACTAGGAAATCAGTCAAAAAAGTTTACTTAATAGACATGCATCAATTGAATCTCTCATTGTCTTTACCTAATTCATTTTGACAAGCCATTATCAAATTACAATATGATCCTTGAGACATATCACTCTATTTCGTCCATTGACACATTCATGTTTAAATCACTCTCATCCAATACCTACTAAAATTCTTTACCCCATGCATGTTGCAACCTTCCCAAATTGCTCGGCTCTGAACCTCCATCACACTACACACGTTGCAATACTAGATTTTGCTTAAGCGTAATGTCTATGCATTGGGTGAAAATGTAATATTTATTACTACATACTTTTTAAGAACATTTGATAAAAATTGACGAGATATTCAATAAATATGCACAATTATTACTCCCTAACTGATTCAGCTACGCTCTCAACTCGAGAGTAGGGGCTGGTGACGGGATAATTGGACAAGGCACTGGGTCTGGACCTGACCCAATGCTATTGGTCTAAGTGGAGGAGTTAAAGCAATTAACACAGTCATTGTAATAGCCAAGCAAAGGGCAGGTGGAACAGTGCACTAAAAGCAGAGCCCATGCACTTAATAGAAGCATCGCCTCATCAAATAGCAGGAGTTATGGAGGGCTAGCACACTTATGGATGACAACGTCTCAATTACTAGGATGCCATAATACATGGGAAGGCACGACAGCTATTAGGAGATTGTTGTGCCATTATTGTAACCGTTACCATTATATTGTATAGAAGATGAGCACATATCACATCAAACGGGGGACATGCTCTAATTCTAATACCCAGAACTCTTAACAATACATGTCATTCTATTTGCCTCAATTTACTTGTTAATTATATTCTCCTATAACATATTTACCGTCAAAAATATAATTTTACTACATTTTTTTAAAGAATTTATCACACGAATTGTGAAAACACATGAGAAAACAAGTCAAAAAGAAAATTGATTTTATTATTGTTTAAAAATGAGACCAAATATGGGGTGATAAGTGGGATTTGAATAAGAGTAAAATGTGGGGCACGAGAAATCGTGAATGAATGTATGAGGTGCGTTGCGTGTTTAAATGAAATCATATATGCCTTTATGGGTAAGATTGCTTTTTCTCAATTAATAAAAGCCTAAAATACCTTTTGTTAGTTAGTCTTAATTAGGATATGTTGTTTTCTTTTATGATTTTATTAACAACTTTGTCGGCCACAACCCTCCCTTCCCAAGCAAAGGAAAGCGGATAGCGTGCCTTGTCCATTTTCCAAACTATTCCAGCGAATGTATATATATAAATTATACGACTTAAATTATATTAATTAAAATTATTAATTTATGTCATGTTTGGCAATCACGGGTTAATGGTTAGGAGTTAACAAATTATGTTAGTAGCTAGCAGATAGTAAATTGTGTTAATGAATTTAATCAGCGGTTTGCAAAAAAATTGTTTAATAAAATTAGTTGTTTACTATTAACAAATTAACATATAAAAAGACATATAAAGACATTAATAATAATAATAATAATGATGATATTATTATGTAATAATAAAATAAAATTTATAATAACAACAACAACAACAACACCACAAAACAAAACCATATATATAAGGAGCCAATCCCTTCATTTAAGGAGCTTTAATGGCTATTTATTTTATTTTATTTACCAAAACACCAAGCTAAAATGCTGCAAAATGCAACGGTCTAGCATGGATTGTTACTTTAAACTGTTGAATAATCAAATTTTTTTTTTAAGGTCAAAACGTCAAAATGACGGATTCGTCATTTACCAAA